TCCTGCTGAGCACTGCAGGACCTCAGTGCCAGGCCCAGGGCAGTGGCCCCCTCCTGCTAACGGAGGTGCCACTGCTACTCGCTCCATCTAAGGAGCAGTTCCAGGCATGACCCCTGGGGCTCACACCCAGCAGGGGAGTTTCCTGTCACCCTGGAACCAGGGCCTGTGGATTTAGCACCCCATGGACAGGATTCAGCTTAGTTGGCCCAGCCCCAGGGTCATTCTTGCAGAGGTTAAGTGGCTTAATGAAAGCCACTAATTGACTGGCCTCAGAAGAGTGAGTGCCTAAGAGTCTGCATATAACTGACAAAGGCGTGGCTTCCAGAAAATACCCAGAGATCAGATACTCCCATGGAGACTTGGCATAAAACACCAAGGGGACACAAGACAAGGCTCGTACCCTTTACCTGGACACTCGGCCCTGAGCCCAGGGTGAGCAGAGGGGGCCCCCGGGGCAGAGTGGTGGGTGGGAGGCTACAGTCTGCTATGCTTGGGCCTGATCTATAGTATAGCCAGGACAGGGTTAAAGCAGAGACTCTGCTTGGATGGATTTAGCTGAGACTGGAGGAGAGTGCTGTGTATCCGTGTGGGTGGGTGCGATCTGGGGGAAGGGTACTCTGTTTACCAGATTGATCTCCTTTGGGCCTGTAAGTGACCTGGCCTTCCGCCCCGCCCCGTGCTGGTCCTCATTCTTCCAGCATGCTGTCAGCTTCCAGAACTGCCTCTGGGACCACCCACCCATCCATCCTCTTTTGTTAATTGAGCACCTACTATGTGCTGCTGACAGACAAATCAGCCAGCCAGGCAGGCCTCCCTGGTGGAATGGAGCCTGTCCTCTGTCGATGTGGTCATTCCATTGTCTGTCCTCTGGAGCTTACAGCTTTGCACGGTAGAAGTCCCTCTGCCAGCCTCAGAGTGGGAGAGACAGGTGGGTTGTGGAAGACCGGGACAGAGAGAGAAAGCAAAGGTGAGGGACCTTATCTAATTTGGGGGCTCAGAGGAGTGAAAGGCCAAAGGGCCAAGGGGCTTGCCTGGGTCCCCTGTGGGAGGCCTAAATTTTGGACCCTCTGGTTTAAGGGCTGGAAGGAGTTGGGTCAGGGCTCTGCAACTGGCAGATGACCAGAGCCAGTCTATAAGAATCTGCCTCCTCCAGGCCCAACTTACCCTAAACCCGTACTTGCCACATTCGGATCCTTCAAGAATGTGGGTCAGCTCCCACGTGGAGCTTCGTCCGGGGCTTCATGAATGAGGCAGTGAAGCTGGATCCTGGCAGGATGGTGTTGGTGGACCCAATAGGCTCACTGGGTTATGTTTATCCAGTCAACACGGCACTGTCGCTTCATCCACGTGCAGTGATTAGGAGCAGCTGATGACTCCAGTTCAGATCTCTGCTCTGCCATCTCCCAGTTCTGTGACAGTGGACAAATTATGTGAACTTCCTATGCCTCAGTTTTCTCACCTGGGAAATGGAGGAATAAGAGCTGCTGCCTCTGGGAAGAGCAGATGGCATAATGGTTATGTCCCTGGACTCCCAATGTCGTTGACCAGAGTTCAAATCCCAGACCTGGCAGCTTAAAACTCACACCAGGGGCATGTGTGTGCGTGCCCAAGATCTCAAGAGGAGAATGGAGGGGGAGGGATTGCAGTGTGCTCATCCCCCCAGGGGGTGATTTCCTGCTTTCTGTCTCTGCCTCTCTGATGAGCGCATGTGTCTTATAACTAAAATCTCTCTTAAGAAGAAAAAAAGGGTCGCTGCCTCCTCAGGTCATCATGGGGAGAGACTGAGGCGCTCTGGGTCTGCATGTTGGAGTGCTGGCCGTGGACAGTGCTAAAGGGGCCTCAGCCATCAGCCTGTGCAAGGTGTGGAGTCTGCAAGGGGCACAGACTGGCATGACCCTTGCCCTGTGCAAGGGCAAGTGAGAGCGAAGAGCCAGCTGGTCACCCTGACAACCAAAGAGTTACGCAGTGATTTGGGCTCTGGGGCTCGCTGGGGGTGCCACGGGGTACTCAGCCCTCACGGAATGGGACTGGTCTGGTCTGAGAGGTGAGACACATGTTCCCAGTGGCCGAGAAGGTTGATCTAGGTTAAAAGTGTGGTGGACACCCAGGTGAAGAGGTAGGAGAAGGCTGGGAGGCAGCAGGCCACGTGGGGGGTGGGAAGATTTCTGAACTTTATCTCAAGGATGGTAGGAAGTCCCATGAAGGACCTTGGCAGAGGTGACAGGATCACATGAGATTTACAAAGGCCACTGAGGCTGAGTGAGAAGCAGGACTTGGCCAGGGCTGGGAGAAAGCTGGACTATGCAGGAGTCAGGTGGGGTGCAGGTTGAGGAGCTCGGGTCACAGGTGTCTGGGGCTCCAGTTGGGTAGGCAAGCCAGTGCTCCTTGCCCCAGGTGATGAGGCTGGCACATGGTCCCACTCGGCAGCAGGCCAGCCTGTGCCCGGTCCAACCCACTTGATCCACAGTGAATTAGCAGAGTTACCATCAGCCTCCGGCAGGCGTGCAGGGGTGGACTGCATCATGACCCAGCTGGCTACTGGCAGAGCTGATGGGAGCAGGGGGTGGAGCAGTCCTCTGGGGTCCTCAGGCCTTGGGCCCTTCTTCTGAAGGCTGAGATAGCATGTGCTCATTAGAGAAAATGTGGAAAAATCCAGAGGTAACTAAGACAGAAATCCTCAGCGGCCCTGCCCAGGGAGAAACAAGATGGCAGAGCATTTGGAGCAGCCCACGGGCCAGGCGCTGGCCACCAACCTGACGT